TGTCTCACATTTAGACGATGATGGATATGATTGCTATTTTAGTAATGGCCAATGTAAGATAATGTTTAATCATAAGTGTGTTGGTCTTGTCTTCCGACAAGACGAGATTTATTTGTTATCACTTTGTGAGAATGTGAATATTGTGAGCACTGAGAATGAGAATGCCTCCTCGTCTATGAATGCAAGAAATAAGCGGAAGAGAGTTCATGATGTATCATCAAAATTATGGCACTGTCGTTTAGGCCATATTTCGAGGGGGGAATAGAATGATTGATTAAGAAGTCAATTCTTCCGCCATTAGAATTTTTAGATTTGGAACAATGTATTGATTGCATTAAAGAAAAGTATGTTAAGAAAATAAAGAAAGACGCCAAACGAAGCGTAGAAATTTTGGAAATAACTCACACAGATATCTGTGGTCCTTTTCCAGTGAAAAGTGTGGATGGTTATGATTCATTTATAACATTTACAGGTGATTATTCTTGTTATGGCTATATTTATCCAATTAAGGAAATATTAGAAGCATTGGATAAATTTAAGATATTTAAGGTTGAAGTAGAAAATCAGCACAATTTAAAAATTAAGGTAGTAAGATCCGACCATGGGAGGGGAGTACTACGGTCGACATACCCCATATGGTCAAGTTCCTAGACCTTTTGCAAAGTTCTTACAGGAAAATAGCATAGTTGCCCAATACTCTACACTAGGCGAGCCTCAGTAGAATGGAGTAGCTGAAAGATGCAATCGTACCTTATTGGATATGGTGAGAAGTATGATAAGTTACTTCACTTTATCGATAAGTTTGTGGATGGAGGAGTTAAAAACCTCCATTCATATTCTCAATCGAGTACCAAGCAAGTCGGTGCCTAAAACACCATATGAGTTGTGGACAGGAAGGGAACCCTCAATCACTTACGTGTGTGGGGTTGTCAAGCCGAGGCTAAAGTTTTTAACCCAAACATTAGGAAGTTAAACTCTAAAACGGTCAGTTGCCATTTCATTGGCTATCTAGATAAGTCAAAAGGTTATCGTTTCTACTGTCCTGACAGACATACCAAGTTTGTAGAAATAAGATACACTATGTTCTTAGAGGATGATATGATCAGGGAGAGCATGGTAGCATGAAAAAATAACCTTGAGGAGAAGCGGGTATACGTGCCCACTCTGATGGTTCAGAGCCATTCTTCTCGCTACTTGTTGCTGTTGCACCAACAGTACATGACACTGTAGTAACAGCACCTATTGTTAGTTCTCCCGTGGCAAAAATAAATGAATATGTGGAACCTATCCTTTAGGATCCTATAGAACCAGTTATCGCACATGAGGAAGAGCTACAACATCCCCATATAGAACAAGCGCCAACTAATGAGGCCCTCATAAGGTCTCAAAGAGCAAGAAAACCAACCATTCCTGATGACTACAAAGTCTATGAATATGAAGAATTTCAAATGGAGGGTGATCCCACCTCATTTGAAGAAGCCATGAGAAGCGCTCACTCGTCGAAGTGGCTTGAAGCCATGCAAGATGAAATGAGATCAATGAGTACCAATAATGTTTGGGACTTAGAAAAAACTCCTAAAGGAGCCAAGATAGTAGGCTGTAAATGGATCTACAAAACTAAATATGACTCCAAAGGGAATATCAAAAGATTTAAAGCGCGACTTGTGGCGAAAGACTTTATGCAAAGAGAAGGAATAGATTATAATGAGACATTTTCTCCAGTCTCATGCAAGGATTATTTTAGAATCATAATGACATTAGTGGCGCATTACGATTTAGAATTACATCATATGGATGTAAAGACGGCTTTTCTTAACGGGGATTTAGATGAGAATGTCTACATGGTACAACCAAAAGGTTTTGTCATAAAAGGAAAAGAACGTATGGGATGCCGCCTGAAGAAATCCATTTATGGATTAAAACAAGTCTCTAGACAATGGTATTTAAAGTTTGATGGAACGATAAGGAAGTTTGGGTTTAAAGAGAATGTAGAGGACAATTGTATTTATACAAAGTTCAAGAATGGAAAATTCATTTTCCTAATCCTATATGTGGATGACATCTTACTCGCTAGTAGTGATGTTAATCTACTACTAGAGACGAAGAAGTTCTTGTCCTCAAATTTTGACATGAAAGATCTCGGTGAAGCTTCGTTTATTTTAGGAATAGAGATTCACCGAGATAGAAAAAAGGGGGTTTTAGGATTATCACAAAAGGCATACTTAAAAAAGGTTCTAAAGAAATACAGTATGCATGCGTGTAAGTCTTCGCCTGCTCCTATAGTCAAGGGCGATAGTTTTGGAGAATTCTAATGTCCCAAGAACCAATATGAGATCGATCGAATAAAAGCAATTCCATATGCTCCGGCTGTGGAAAGCTTATAGTATACTCAAGTATGTACATACCCTGACTTAGCTAATGTTATCGGGATACTTGGTATATATCGGAGTAATCCAGGAATAGAATATTGGAGAATGGTAAAGAAAACTTTGCGTTATTTGCAAGACATAGAAGGTCTTATGTTAACGTACAGAAAGATCTGATTCCCTCCATGTAGTGGGGTATTCAGATTCAGATTTTGTGGAAGATGTAGATGATACAAAATCCACATCAGGCTATGTATTTACTCTCGCAGGGGGAGTTATATCGTGGAAAAGCTCCAAGCAAACCGTCACTGCATCGTCCACGATGTTTGCTGAGTTTATAGCATGTTATGAGGCCATAGGGCAGGTGAACTGGCTAAAGAAATTTATGCCCGGATTGAAAGTGGTTGATGACATTCATAAGCCACTCAAGTTGTACTGCGACAATGAGCCAGCAATATGTTATGCTCACAATAATAAGTCAAGTGGTGCTGCCAAACACATTGACATAAAATTTTATGTTGTGAAAGACAAAGTCCGGGATCATTCTATTAGTCTCGAGCATATAAATACAAAGAAAATGCTTACGGATCCGCTTACAAAAGGCTTACCGCCCAATGTGTTCAGAGAACACTTAGCCGGTATGGGTTTACGGGAAAGCCTATGATTCCTAGACAATAAGGGCCTAGGTGAGAATATGTTCAAAACAGAGATGTGTGTTGTAGCTGTTAATCCAATGGTACTAACTATTGTGATGAGGCACGCTCTATGCGCTAATCTGTGATGGAATGGGAAAATGAGATAAGTATTTTAAGTTTAAGTCATAAGGTGAGTTCAAGGGGAGAATGTTAGGTTGATCTCCACCAAGTTGGCCCAACGGCCAATTTGGGCCTTTGATCCGCGCTCTGATCGGAGACACCCAACCCAATCATGGTTGGTGGGCCCCGTCGCGCAGTGCTATAAAGAAAAGGTGGGGGACGGGGCACTGGGTATGAGGTTCACCGCAGCCGCCATCTCCCCACCGACATCCTAACCCTAGTCCGATCGAGAGGGCAGCGTTGATAGCGACGGGAAGCTCCGCTACCATGCCGTGCGCCGCCACTGCACTGCGACCGACTTCGATTCCGCTGCCGGACTCCACTGCTACCACTTCACCACTGACCCGGGCTGCACCACACCTTCGCCATGGCTACATCGTCCTCCTCCGCCAAGCCTTCCGACGGTCGGTAACGCTTCCCCTCTCTCCTTCTCCCCTTTTTCCTTTTAGATCTACTGGTTCTAGGTTGTGAGTCGATGTTTTACTACTGCTAAGGAAGTTTTTACCCACTGATCTACTCCTGGTTGATCCTAAGATTGTAACACTCTATGCTCACCATGCATGATCTAGTGTATGACCTTGCAAGATCAGTCATGGATGAAGAGTTGGGGGTCTATAATGCTGACAAAGCAAGAAGTACGGTGGATAGAAAGTATTGCCGTTATGCATCGCTCACAAATTGTTGCAAAGCATTGAATATATCGACCGCATTACCTGCCAAGTTAAGGGCAATGTTTTTTCAGGATTGCAGAAATCTGGGCATCCATGATGGTTCGTTTTCCTTTGCCAAGTGTTTGCATGTTTTGGACTTAACTGAATCCTCAGTGAGCAAGTTTCCAACATCTGTGGGCCAACTGAAGCAACTCAGGTTTCTTATTGCCCCTAGGATGAAAAATCTTAGTTTTCCAAATAGTTTTACTGGACTCTCAAAACTACAGTACCTGAGCATTCGTGGATCATCGATGATTTCATCAATGCCAGAATCAATTGGCAATCTTAACAATCTTATGTATCTTGATTTGTCAGGTTGTTCTGAAATAGAGAAACTACCAAAATCTCTTGGAAATTTGAAAAACATGGTGCATCTTGATTTATCTGCCTGCTCTGGACTTAAAGTGATATCAAAAGTTTTGTGACCTCACCAAACTACAGTACTTAAATTTGTCAAGCTGATCCAATCTTGGAAGGCTACCACAGGATCTAGGCAATCTGACAGAACTCCAGTATTTATACTTGTGCGGCTGTCTTAAAATTAGAGTCTCTTGGGAAGCTCATAAATTTGGTGCATCTAGATCTGTCACTGTGCTCCTTTGTGATGCCAGAAGAATTGGGTGGCCTCACCAAAGTGAAGTATTTGAACTTATCAGGAGGCCTTAATAATGAGAGACAAGCTAAGAAAAATATTGATTATATCAGCATCCTCACAAACCTTGAGCATCTTGACTTGTCTTGGAATTTTTTTCCATCTCTACCAGAAAGCATTGGTAATCTCAAAAGACTGCATACATTGGATCTCTCAGGATGCAGAAATCTTAGTTCCCTACCTAATAGTATAGGTTCAATCGATAGTCTGGAGCTGCTGGTGGTTAACGATTGCACAAAGAGTTTGAAGGACTACATCAGGATATCTTAACCCATTATCCCACTTAGTGGTTCGCCCAAATGATGGTGATTCTGGGAGCAACCTTCATCAGCTTGAGGGTATAAATCCTTCTGAGCTTCAAATAAGCTATCTCGAAAATGTAAGGATTCCAGGAGAGGCAATCGGAATTGAGTTGTGCAACAAAGAAAATCTCTCGAAATTGACACTTCACTGGACTATGGAGGCTGATCCTGTTTTGAACAAGGATGTCTTGGGAGCACTAGTTCCACCGAATGGTCTTAAGCACTTGGAACTGAACGGCTATAGCAGTATAAGCTTTCCAAATTGGTTCATGGATATTACTCACTATCTCCCAATTCTTGTTTCTGTTAAGTTGAAGAATCTACTGAGATGCAGCAGTCTGCCACCACTTGGGCAGTTACCAAACCTCAAAGAGTTGTATCTTGAAAGGTTGAGCAGCATTGCAAAAATCGGTGGGGATTTCTGTGGCCGCAAACGAGCATTCCTTCAACTATCAAGGTTTACCTTGTTGAAGATGGAACGACTGGAAGAATGGACGACGACATACTGTAGCGAGGATGGTACAGAGGAGTTCATGTGCCCTGTGCTCGATGAGCTAGTTATAAGCCATTGCCCGAGATTGAGGTTAAAACCATGCTCACCTATATTTCGCAGATGGACAATCTCTCACAGTGATGAAGTGCTTAATTCATGAGATGAAGAGGGCAACTTCAGCCATTTTAACTCCACACCACGAACCAGGTTGGTAGTTTGGAGCAAAAGTTATTATTGTGGGAGTTGGGGGCTGCTTGGCCACTTACCTACCCTCCAAGAGCTGGAAATCAAAGGTCCGAGTCACATGAGAGCATGCGACAGCTGGCCTCCCTTCGTTTCCTGGAGTTGTACAAGTGTAACGACATATCAGTGTTGCCAGAATGGCCTGGAGACCTCAAATCTCTCGAAAGGCTCCGCATTTTGGGAAGCGGGAAGATCAAGTCCATGCCACCATCTGTACAACAACTCACCAAGCTCCAGGAGCAACTTATTATGGGGAACCCTGAACTAAAACAGTGGTGTGAATCTGAGGAGAACAAGAGCAAGCTTGCCCACGTGAAGGATATTGTAGGTTATTCGAGTTACACCGACACGCCCTGTTATGTCTACTCCCCCCAAATCCCTCCGTATTTTTGCATACATATGACGCTTGCACAAGTAAACAAAAACAAAAGATAGTCACCTAGCAATTATAAACAAAAGTCAACTAGTAAGGTGATCGCTACAAATAGCATGGCTTGCCTTGTTACACTATTTAACAAGGGTTATAAATATGTCAAGATTTTACATATTATATTAGTACCTTTAATTTACATATTCATAAAAGTAGGGAAAGACCACTACTAAAGAAATGATTTTTAGCAACGGTTTTTTTGTAGGGGCGGCTCCATCACCAACCGCCCCTACAGTGGACGAGCTCGGGTCCCACGATTCCAGCCGCCTCTACAAATCGAACAGTAGGGGCGGCCGGTGATACGAGCCGTCCCTACAAATAGGTAGATTTGTAGAGGCGGCTCACTCACCAGCCGCCCCTACAAATGTCCGCTGTATAAATGGCTACAACCACTTTTTCTCCTCAGGTCACTCACTCCTACATGAAAAAAAGGCTTGGGAGGCCTTGGGCACCTTCAAAAAATTGCTCTACTAAGAGAAAAGTTTTGGTCTCAAATTCTTTGATGGAGAGATCGTAGAAGGTAAGAAAATGTTATTCCAAACTTTTTTTTGAGTTTTAATGGTTGGTTAGTGAGTAATTAGAGTTTTGCTTTTCTCTCTCTTCTATGGTGCTTGAGCTACTTATGAAGCAAATTAGACCTTAGTTTTGAAGGTTCTAGGGTAAATTAGTTAGTGGAGGAAGATTATGCCTTTATTTAGTAGATCTTGCTTGGTTTTAGTGGACTATATTAAGTAGTTTATGGATGTTTCATGTAGATCTAGATCTAGAGCTAGGGTTTGGTTTTTTTATTATGAATTACATTTTTGCATGAAGGATAGTGTGGAAAATAATAATTGTTCCTATTGGTTGTCTTTGAAATTGTACAATGTAATTAAGAAATTAAAGTGGAGAATTAAATATATATTTTTAATTAGCTTTGGCTAAATAGGTCATTAATTATTCTCTAGAATGGTTATCCATAAAATTGCTAGTTATATTATATTCCTGTATATATATATATGAATAATTAGTCCTTTAATTTTTTTATTTGATTGTTGTCCTAAAAGATGGAGTACAGAAACTCTTGGATGTATGGTTCATTAAGGTTTAAGCCAGATTTCCGTGATGAAGTGGATAAATTCATTAAAGCCGCACGAAGCATGCAATGACCTTGACATAGAATAAAGATTCAATTATTTGTCCGTATAGCGATTGCAAGAATCATCTCGCATGGAAAGATGTGACTATCATCAGATCACAACTGATTATGCGATGATTTGTTAAGGACTATATAGTGTGGATTCATCATGGTGAAACAGTTGTGGACGTTGATCAACAAGAAGTCGCCGAAGCCATAGATTACCTAGCTCAATGTGTAGCACAACTTGATGCAAAATGGATGATGGTGGCCATGAACAAGGTGGTGATGGGGATAACAACGAAGGTGGTGCTAATAATGATGGCGGAGTACATGCCGGGGATGAAGTTGATGATGATTATCTAGGGAAAATGCTTGAAGCCATTGGACCAGATATTTTACTAAAGAGCTCGAAAGGTTTAGAAAATTTGGAAAGGATGACAAAAGCATCAATGGAGACTGTGTATGGTGTTGAAAATGGTTGTTCGACACACTGGACAGTGCTACGTTTTGTGCTTGAGCTACTCATCTTGAAGGTTAAGTACGGTTGGTCAAACATGATCTATTGCTGCCACAGCCAAACTTAGTTCCCGCCAACACATACCAAGCCAAAAAGGTTATAAGCCCATTAACAATGGGGGTTGAAAAAAATCCATGCATGCCCCAACCACTGTATCCTTTTTCATAGCGATACGTTCAAGTCACTAGATAAATGTCCCAGGTGTGGGGCCAGTCGGTACAAGAACAATGACCTTTACAAAGGGAAAGAAGCCTCCACGGGGAACAAGAGGAAGAAGGATGGGAAAAAGGTGGTACAATATTCTCAACCCCCAGAGGACGACACTCCATTAGGCAATGATGAGAAGCAGAGAAGAATTCCTGCCTTGGTATTGTGGTACCTGCCAGTGGTCGACCACTTGAGGCGTATGTTCCTAAACCCTAAGAAAGCCGCACTCATGACATGGTGGGATGATTAGCGCAAGGTGGGTGATGATGAGATTGCACACCCGGCCGATGGCACTCAGTGGCAATGCTTCGATGACAAGCACAAAGAATTCAGCGCTGATCCAAAGAATGTACGGTATGGCTTGAGCACCAATGGAATAAATCCCTTCAATGAGAGGACGAGCGACCACAGCACATGGCCAGTGATCTTGACCATGTACAACATCCCAACATGGTTGTGTCAGAAGAGAAAGTACCTTCTCCTCACTATTCTCATTCAAGGTCCAAAACAACCAGGCATTGACATAGATGTATTCCTCGAGCCTTTGATGTAAGAAATGGAGAGGCTATGGAGGCATGGGGAGCCGATGTACGATGCATTTAGAAAGGTGGACATCATATGTAGAGTCATGATCTTTGTTACTACCAATGATTATCCCACGTTGTTTGCTTTGTCTGGACAGATCAAAGGGAAGACGAGATGCTTAGTATGCTTGATGCTACTACATGGGTGTACCTAGATGCATCCAAGAAGACAGTTTACCTGAGGTACCGACGCTTCTTAAAGACAAGTCACAAATACCACATCAAGATGTACTTCAGATTTTATGACAACATCCCAGAGAATGAACCCCCTCTGGAGAGACATCAAAACTGGCAACATGTGTTCGAAATGATGAAAACATGCGTGTCATCCTCGAAAAGAAGAATCCGGATGGGACGAAGAAAGATAGAAGCACACCTCCTGACGCCGGCGTACCTTTCAAGAAATAGTCGATCTTTTTTCAGTATCTACCTTATTGGCTAGACTTGGAGGTCCCCCATGCCATTGATGCTATGCATGTGTAGAAGAATGTCTTTGAGAGTCTCATTGCGACCTTGATGGACACAGGTAAGACAAAGGATGATCTAAAATCACGGAAAGACATGGTGCAACTAAAGGTGAAGGTAGAGCTTCACCCAGTACCTGAGGGTAATGAAAAATACACTCTACCCGCGGCAAGCTTTAACCTGACCCCAGAAGACAGGAGGGCGATGTGCACTTTCTTAAGGGGGGTCAAAGTTCTGACTAGATTTTCAACGAACTTGAAGAGGCTAGTGTCGATGAAGGACCTATTGATCAATAACACGCTTCAAGGCTCACGATTGTCATGTCATGCTGACATTGTTCCTACCTATTGCAATCAGGGTTATGAAGCTAGAGTTTTTGAAAATGGCCATCACCTGTATGTGCTACTTCTTTTCGAAGATCTCACAGAAGACGATTGGTAAAAAAGAGCTGAGTGACCTACATGAATTTATGGTGGAGACCCAAAACCAGCTTGAGATGTGTTTACCTCCCGCTTTTTCGATATAATGCCACATCTCATGATTCACATGGTTCATCAGATAGAGGCGCTGGGCCCTTGCTACTTGCATGAAATGTGGTCCTACGAGCGGTTTATGTCGTTTCTTAACTGATACGTGCATAATCGGGCATGCCCAAAGTGCTCCATGATAGAGGGCTACAGTACTAAAAAAGTCATCGAGTGCTATCAAGAGTACCTAAAAGGGCAGAAAGGCATTGGTAAACCTAATTCTCATCATAAGGGTAGGCTGGCTGGGAAGGGCACTAGGGGGATAAAAGTGTGCATCAACGAGGATTACAAAGAAGTGAGTCGGGCGCATTACAGTGTCATGCAGAGTACAGAACTAATGGAACCATACATTGATGAACACTTGGCTATCAATAGGGAGGAGAGTAATGGCCGCATAGATGACTCGGTCATGAAACAACACAAGCAAAGATTCACTACATGGTTGAAGGACCATAACCTACCGAATGGAGAAACCATAGATGATATTACCATAAGTAGGTTGAAGAGGGGCCATCAAGACAAGTCACATCTTGGCAAACTTATGAGATCAATTGGTACACATACTATACCCACGCAAAGGATAGTAGATGTGTGAACCAAAATAGCATCGTTCGAATAGAAGCTCTCGACGGATTAGGGATGAAAGATCCCATTCTTTGGCATCATTGATGACATATGGGAACTTGACTATGGAAGGGGTATACGGATGGCCTTGTTTTGATGCCGCTGGATCAAACAACATCAAGTCAATGAGATCGGGTTGACAGTCATGGACCTTGACAATCTAGGCTACCAAGATGACCCTTGGGTGCTCGCTTCACGTGTCGCACAAGTTTTCTATTTACCTGACCCACAAACTAACCTCCCCCAAAGAAGAAGACAAAGCATGTGGTTTCCTCCGAAAAACAACATATTATCGGAGTTGATGGCATGGACGATGTTGAAGAGTACAATAACTACGCTAAAATGAAGCTATTCATAAACTTTTCTAAGAAGATCAGTTGTGGAAAAGAACCTGCCCAAAGACATATTGCCATGGGAACGAAAAGGTGTCAAGGGGAAAGTTGTTACGGGCTAAGATGGAGTGGACGATGATTGTGTATGTGTGTGAGACTACATTTATGTATGTGTGTGAGACTACATTTATGTCAGTTCAAGTCATAAATCTCTCACATAGTTTATGAAACTATGTGAGATATGTTAATTTGTGAACAATATGTACTAACACTTTGTCGGATGAAGAAATGACCAAAATAAAAGTTATAGATCTTGATGAGTACTACAACTTTTATATTCATGACTTTTTAGTTCAAATCATTTGGTGTCTCAAAATTTTGTTTGAAGTTGTCATTTTTTAAATTCAAAATTTGAATTGTCCAAATTTAGTCACACATAAAAGATAACCAAAATAAAAGTTATAGATCTCAATATGTTCTACAACTTTTATGTTCATGACTTTTTGAGTTGAAATCATATGCTCTTTCAATATGTAGTTTCAAGTTTCCACATTCTTCAAATTCAAAATTTAAATTTTAGAAAAAAAATCATCACATTTGAAGTTAGTATGAGGGAGAAAGACTAGTTA